TGGAAGCAATTACCCAGTATCCCATTGAAATAATTGATTCAGTTAACGAAATTTTCGGTTAACGAACGACTCTGTGGAACCAATTGTGTTTGTTAATCGAGGGACAACTGTACAGGCAAATAAAAAACGCTAGCAATGAGGCAAGGTGCTGCATCTGACACGGTGCTGGAGAGAGAGTGAGTTTGACGTTGGGGTGTGTGGGTGTTTGATGGAGGGTATGGGTGATGTTGGGGGTGTGTGGACTGTGTGGGTGATGTTGGGGTTTGTGGGTAATAATAATAATAATAATAATAAACGGTTTATTAATAGAGTTGCAGCTGGTGGCTGAAAATATAAAAACTTACATTTGATTTAGACATAATGATATAATATGCATTGAATACATTTACAGGGCTGGACAGTACATAAATCAGGAGTTGTTTATTATTTTAACAATAGATGGGATGGTGCTGTTCTTATATCTATCAGTGCGGGCTCTTATGGGCTGTATTTTGTTGTAGTGGCCGACTGCACAAGTTGGGTGGGGGGCAGGAGGTGGCGATGACGAGGGTGGTGCAGTAGTCCACGGCCAAACCATCCAGTGCTTGGTGGTGGAGGTCACTGAGGGATGACATTTCCAGGGTGGAGAGAGCGTTGGTGTAGCTGGAGTATTCTGCGCCGAGCATGATTCTGCAGGCCCTTTTCTGTACCTTCTCTAGCTGACGTTGTTGGGTGGAGTTGAGAGAAGACGACCAGGCTGGTGACGCATACGTTAGTTTGGGGAGAATAAAGGCGTTGTAGATGGTCCTCAGCTCTGGCGTGGGTGTCCCAAGTGACCAAAGTCTTCGTAGCATGTAGAGACGGTACGAGGCTGCCTTGACTGTGTTATTTACATGGGCCTTCCAGTCAAATTTGTTGTCTATAGTTACACCCAGGAGTTTGGCAGACTGCACCAGCTGGAGAGGATGGGCACCCACTGTGACTGCTGGGGCTTGCACTGGAGTGGTGGCGGTATTGATGTGCATGACTACGGTTTTGGTGTGGTTGATGGTGACCTTGTTCTCCATAGTCCATGCCTGTGGTGTTGGGGGTGTGTGAGTGATGTGGGGTTGTGTGTGGGTGATGTTGGGGTGTGTGTGGGTGGTGTTGGGGTGTGTGTGGGTGGTGTTGGGGTGTGTGTGGGTGATGTTGGGGTGTGTGTGGGTGATGTTGGGGTGTGTGGGTGATTTTAGGTGTGTGTGTGTGATGTTGGGGTGTGTGTGTGGGTGATGTTGGGGTGTGATGTGGGGTTGTGGTGGGTGATGTTGGGGTGTGTGTGTGGGTGATGTTGGGGTGTGTTGGGTGATGTTGGGGTGTGTGGGTGATGTTGGGGTGTGTGGGTGATGTTGGGGTGTGTGGGTGATGTTGGGGTGTGTGGGTGATGTTGGGGTGTGTGGGTGATGTTGGGTATGTGTGGGTGGTGTTAGGGTATGTGTGATGTTGGGGTGTGTGTGTGGTGATGTTGGGGTGTGTGTGGGGTGGTGTTGGGGTATGTGTGGGTGATGTTGGGGTGTGTGTGTGTGACGTTGGGGTGTGTGTGGGCGTGTGTGTGTGGTGATGTTGGGGTGTGTGTGATGTTGGGGTGTGTGGGTGATGTTGGGGTGTTTGTGTGTGATGTTGGGGTGTGTGGGGTGATGTTGGGGTGTGTGTGTGTGTGATGTTGGGGTGTGTGTGGTGGTTGTTAGGTGTGTGTGTGTGTGTGATGTTGGGGTGTGTGTGATGTTGGGGTGTGTGGTGGTGTTGGGGTGTGTTCCTGACACACACACACACTCCTGAAATTTAAATCCAAACGCTCCATGACCCCAATTGACCTCCCAATCAAAATATACAAGGAGTTTGCAGTCGAACTTGCCACCCCCTCTGTTCTATTATTAATGCATCCCTCAGACAAAGCAAATGCCCTAATGAATGGAAAACCTCATTTGTCACCCCCATCCCCAAGGTCACCACCCCACAGTCCCCTAACGACCTCAGGCCACTTGCCATTACCCCCATACCCAGTCTACTTTGTGAGGACTTTGTTTTTGAGTGGGCATTTGCCATCATCTATCAGTCAATTGATCCACAGCAATTTGGCAATATGAGGACCTCCTCTACATCACACTGCTTGGTGAGCTTTCTGGATTTTCTGCACAAAAACTTGCAGAAACGTAAAAACATCACTGGCCGTTGCGCTTGTTGATTTCAGGAAGGCCTTTGACCTTGTTGATCACTGCACTGTTATCAACAAGGCTATTGCACTATGGCTGCCCACCAACCTGGTCTCATTGCTCATTGATTTCTTGAGTGGACGTCTCCACATTCCAATACCTCACCTGCGGTGTTCCCCAGGGGACCAAGATGGGACCACTGTGCTTCGTCATCCTGATCAACGATGCTCTATCGGACATTCCTCACAGGTGGAAGTACGTGGATGACTGTACTGTGGGGGTTTCAGTGGACAACACCGCACCAGACTACTCATCGCTACAAGACACCCTGGACAGGCTACAGGCATGGACTACGGAGAACAAGGTCACCATCAACCACACCAAAACCGTAGTCTTGCACATCAATACCGCCACCACTCCAGTGCAAGCCCCAGCAGTCACAGTGGGTGCCCATCCTCTCCAGCTGGTGCAGTCTGCCAAACTCCTGGGTGTAACTATAGACAACAAACATGACTGGAAGGTCCATGTAAATAACACAGTCAAGGCAGCCTCGTACCGTCTCTACATGCTATGACGACTTAGGTCACTTGGGACACCCACGCCAGAGCTGAGGACCATCTACAACGCCTTTATTCTCCCCAAACTAACGTTTGCGTCACCAGCCTGGTCATCTTCTCTCAACTCCACCCAACAACGTCAGCTAGAGAAGGTACAGAAAAGGGCCTGCAGAATCATGCTCGGCACAGAATACTCCGGCTACACCAACGCTCTCTCCACACTGGAAATGCCATCCCTCAGTGACCTCCACCACCAAGCACTGGAAAGGTTTGGCAGCCAATTAATGCACCACCCTCGTCATCGCCACCTCCTGCCACCGGCAGCCCCCCCGCCCACCTCGGGCAGTCCGCCACTATAACAAAATTCAGCCCATAAGAGCCAGCACCGATAGATATAAGAATAGCACCATCCCATCTATTGTTAAAATAATAAACAACTCCTGATTTATGTACTGTACAGCCCTGTAAATGTATTCAATGCATATTATATCATTACGTCTAAATCAAATGTAAGTCTATATTTTCAGCCACCGGCTGCAACTCTATTAATAAACCGTTTATTATTATTATTATTATTATTATTTTTATTTATTACACACACACACACACACACACACACACACACACACACACACACACACACACACACACACACACACACACACATGCATGCACACACACACACACACACACAGGGCAAGGGAATCAAAACATATCTGTGTGTGTGTGTGTGTGTGTGTGACTGCATGGTAGCGAGTTAAATAGCAGCTCTTGAGGAGCACTTGGCAACACTCATTTCCACTCCACCTCTCTAATGATCCACACCTTTCTGCTTTCTCACTACATATTTTAAAATGTTATGTAATGTAATGTTGAAGGGATACAACTTTGTTCATTTATTCTTATACTTATCACAATCTCTCTGAAAGTATTTTAAGTTTCATGTTTATTCAAGACATCTTCAGGTCATGAGACCCACTAATCCTCCACCCAAGAAAGGGTGACCTGACATTCCATCATATCAGTAATATGAGACTGTTAATCCCCCACCCTACCTCCACCTGACATTGCATCAGGTCAGATCAGTTACTCAAGACCCACTAATCCCCCACAGCTCTATGGGAGTGGAAAATAACAGTCTTTCCTGTAACACACAGCTTCATTCATGCCCATATTATTTAGATTTTTAATTTTTAAATATATTTATTTAACCAAACATTTAGATAAACTATTCTGGATTATTATAGTAAAAAGAATTGGACCAAACAGGGAGGTACTACCGCCTGGGAAGATATTGGAAGCATAATGTGTTGTCTATGGTAGACCCTGCTGTCATATGGCATCACGAAAATTGTGACCAAATCCCAGGTTGCTGATCTGACTTTCTGCCTCATTTACACACAATTGCAGGGTCTCAATTGTTTCTCTTACTATTGACAACACAACATATATACTGTATATTGTTTCTCACAAAAAATTTTTTCAATTTGTATTTCTTTATGGTTCTTTATTATTATTATTATTATTATTATTATTATTATTATTATTATTATTATTATTATTACATTTTCTTCCCCAGGCCCTACTATGGGTCAGTGACTCCGGTGTGGGCTAATCCTTGAAAAATAAAAAATAGAACTGTATTTACGGACTTTGGTAGTTTAGACTCAAGGAAAGCATCCTAAGCACTCGGAAACAATCTGGGGAGGTGGGCTAGTCTGTGTGTGCAAGATGTCTAGTTTAGACATTCGTAAACTACTCCCAGTAACCAGAAAAGATTCCAGGGATAAGGAATTTTTCAGGGTCTGAGAAAGTCATCTGGTTAGCCAAAAATCTCTCATCCACAGAAGAGTTCTGCACGAAATTGTTCCGGCTAACGGGGATATCACTATACAGTATGTAAGGTATATAAAAAGATAATTTTATCCAATGTTTATAACAGCATGTTTGTTTTCGTAAAGATACATACAAACCAACAAATCTTAATGATGCATTAGGCTACAACCTAAACAGCCTAATGACAACCCTGCTGTGTGCTGCAGTAGGAGAGCTAGTATCACATTACGTAATTGACAAATTTGTGATTATTAAATTGGAAAATTCAAAACTTCTTAACTTTGTAGTCAGAAAAAGATTGAATATGAGTGTTTCTGAATAGAGAAAATATAATTAAATTAAAGCTGAAAACCTTTGGAGAGACTTTGGACAGTTGTTTACATTTATAATGTGTACTTTATGAAAGATAGTAGCATAAAGAGTATTCTTAATTTTACAGTTTGGAAGTGCACTTCAGCACCTTCTAACTACAGTACCATACAGTGAAGCCTCTGGATTGACTAACATTGAGTGGGATGCTATAGAAGTGTGCTCTTATTTCATGCAGAACTGGTAAGTGTGGGGATAAGAAAGATATTACATGGCACTGTTTGATCCATTTTACAAAACCTTTAAATATCTAATCATTATACATTTGTTCCATATCAATATTGTGGTGGGGAAACATCATGAAATAATACAAATGATAAAGCAGCCAGAAAGAACATTAAGTAAACAAGTGCAGGAGAATCTTGTGCTACTCTTATGGCTACCATGCATCATAGTGGGAATGAGCTTGTATTTGGGAAAAAATACTATAATTAACATTTCAAACAGACTATCTCTTGCTAAGTCTTTGTTGAATGTAGGTTATTGTCAGTCTATCAGCTGCCTTCTGAAGATTCTTGGTTTTCCTGATTTTTATGCAAATTTTGACCCCCAAACCTTCTGGTATAGTACTTCTAATCCTAAGATTAAATTTCTATCAGGTAAATACATGAGTTGATATGGATCATGCCTGTGACAGAGTAAATCATTATTGGAAGGTAGTATTTTTCACTAAAATATCTGCTTGTAAGTTTAAATTTCAATAATTTGAAAATTTTGGCAGAAAATATAGGTAAAAAGTTCTCAGAATATTAAATTTAATTAGAACTGTGTACATCATTTGTATGTCTCACTGATAGATGACTATTTTCACAGGTTATATGAACCTGAAATACTGCATCGTATCAGTCACCATTATGAGTCTGGTCTACCATTAAGTGGGTCGAGCATCCAAGAACTTATTGCTAGCCAGAATCACATGGCAGGTTTTGATCTCTGCTCTGAATTGTATCTTGCTCATCTCGACATACAACTCCATACAAGGTAAAAAAAATAGTAATACTAAAAATAATTAGTCTTCATTAGTACTGTGCCTGTGGTGGATGCCCCTTAGCACAGTAAACTCAATTTTTTTTAAATATTCAAGTTCACAATTTTTATATATTTGTACAGTTACGTACAAACCAATTTAGACAATAATTTCCAGTTCTACTCCACCTTTGACCATATCCTGGGTGATGCTGGACTTTATGGAATAAACATGATATTTTATAGGTAATTTTAATTTATACAGAAAATTCTCTGTACCCCAAGTGATGTTGGGGGTAAATTTAATATTAGTGTTTTATTCTGAATGATCACACTTCTCACATTGACACTTCAAACCATTTCAAAACTTTGAGGTTGTCAGTAATACTGATACAGTATTTTTGATTAGACACAATTTTCACTCTCTGCCCTCATGATTTTGTAACCTATATTAATAATAATAATAATAATAATAATAATAATAATTGACGGTTTATTGAAAAAGTTCTGCAGCCCGAAGGCTGAAAATATACATTGGACATAAATGACTTATTACATACATTGGTGGTTTAACAAAAGCCTTCATTAGAGAAAGGTAAAGGAACATACAGTGAACAGATTATTGTAGGTGTTGAACAGCAAACACGTAGTGTAGTAACTCCCTCCCAGATGGTGTTAGAAGGGACCTCACGTGGTGTAGTAGTTCCCTCACAGATGGTGTTATGAGGGGCCTCACGTGGTGTAGTAATTCCCTCACAGATGGTGTTATGAGGGGCCTCACATGGTGTAGTAATTCCCTCACAGATGGTGTTATGAGGGGCCTCACGTGGTGAAGTAACTCCTTCACATAAGGTGTTATGAGGGACCTGACGTGGTGTAGTAATTCCCTCACAGATGGTGTTATATGAGTGAGGTGTGGTCCCAGGCCTTCCTATCATAGACGGATTAACACATCGCTGGCTGTTGTTGGGTCTCACGGGCCGTTATCACTGGGTACCTGGGACCTCACTGTGTGAAGGTTAACTTGGGTACGACTGTTACTGTTGAGTTGTTCTCACTGACTTAAGCACTGTTCACCACTGTTCACCTCTGTTTAACACTGGTTCCATTCCTTTCCTAAATGAAATAGTAACTTCTGGCGAGAACTTGTTGATATTCCGGTGGGGAGGAGGGTTCAGGGGAGGGAGTTGGTATGGGCCAACTTAACAGTTGACCTGGCTGCTCCGAGAGGAGCGCCAGGTATGTCTTGACCCTTTACTTTCAAATAAAAGGAACTTGTCATTTTACTTGCTTAGTGAGAAGGCCTTCCAGCTCCTCTGCTTTTTATTACAAAGTACGAGGGGTCCTCATTTTATGACAGGGATGTGTTCCAGAGAAGAGCAACTTAAAAGTGAAAAGTTTTATAATGAGGAATTATCCCCATAAGAATTACAGTACAATGTATTTAGGGGTATATGCATTCCAACATGTACAGTCAAAGAAAAAGTTGTGTTACACTTATGTTCTGAAACCAATGATGAAGATTTTGATAAAGTTCCCCTTACAGACTCGAACCTCAAAACTTCCTTGTCATTTTACCCAAATTCATTGTCATGGGTTTCAGAACATAACGCATGCGGTGTGTAACATAACTTTTTTCTTTGAATTTACAGAACTGTAATACCCTTTGAACTATCAGGAAATCAGCTTACAATGGGGTCATTATAATTTTTTTGGGGGGATTAGTCCACAACAGGGCCTAGGGGGCGAAAAGGGGAATTAAAAATAGAAAATAAAAAGATTATATTAATTTACACCACGAAGATGCCGGAAAACCAGATTTTTGAATTGAGACATTGTATGAGTATGGAAACCAGAAGAAAGCAGAGCATTCCAAAATATGGCTGTGTAAGGAAAGAAGGATGTATTATAACGGGTTATTCTAGTGTGACCAACATTCACACAGAAATGGTGGGCACTGCGGGGAAGACGAGTGTTACGAGCTCACGGCCTTGCTAGTGGTACACAGGATGCCAAATCCACCGAACATTGCCCATTAAAGTACCTGTAAAAGAGAGAGAGAGTGAAGCAACATTGTGGCAAAGAAAGAGGGAAGAGAGATTGTCAACTAAAGGAGGAGAGTTAATAAGACGAAATGCTTTTGATTCCACCCTATCTAACAGTTGGACAGAAGAGGAGCCACCCCAGATATGAGAGCAGTACTCCAAGTTAAGATAAATGAATTCCTTATAGACTTGAAGCAACTGCTCAGGAGTGAAGTAGCTACAGCATCTGTACAGCATTCCCGACTTTCGGGAGGCAGCTTTAGCAATGTTGTGGATGTGTGGCTTCCATGACATATTAGGGGAAATGGTGAGGCCTAGCAAATCTATTTTAGAATTTGGCAGAATGATTGCATCCTGAATTGTGATGGGTGGGAGTTCATCGAATTTGGAAAGTGTAATTGGTAAATACTGTGTTTTATTACTTTTGAATTTAACCAAGTTTCTACCTCCCCATTCAGAGATGCTGCACAGATCTGCATTGATTGACGAAATGATATCGGCTCTAGAAACAGATCTAGTTTGAGAATTAGGGAGAAGGGAAAAATGTGAAGTAGAGTGAAGAGTAGACTCATCAGTGTAAGAATGGATAGAATTAGTTGTAGTGTGAAGTAAATCATTGATAAAAAGAAGGAAGAGAGTAGGTGAAAGAACAGAACCCTATGGGACACCACTATTGGTAGAGAAAGTGTGAGATATTGATCCCTCAACAATAACTGCCATGGATCAGTTCTCAAGGAAGCTAGAAATTAGAGAGCAAAATGGGGAAGAGAAACCATAAGAGGGAAGTTTAGAAAGCAAAGACTTGTGCCATACTCTGTCAAATGCTTTGCAGGTGTCATGGGCCACGACGAAAGTTTCCCCATAATCCCAAGAGAGGATGCAGTCGGAAAGCAGATCACCAGTAGATCTCGCCTAGCAAAAGCCATACTGGTGATCCGACAAAAGGGAAAGGCGTTCAATGTGACGGAGAAAATGAGAGTTTAAGATAGTTTTGAAAATCTTAAGAGAGGGATGAAGTTAGGGCATTGGGGTGATAGCTAGAAGGATTGGAATGCTCACCTTTCTTTGGGATGGGCTGAACAGAGGCATGCTTCCGAGAAGAAGGAAAAGTTTGGGTTTTGAGGCAAATGCGAAAGAGGCGAGTAAGCACAGGGGCTAGAATTTCAGAACACAAGGTGGGTATTCCATCCGGTCCATGCGCCTTACTCACATCCAACCTGGATAACACACCAGCAACCCTACGAGTGGAGATTATAGGAAAGTGCATAGGTCCAGTAGGAGGAGAAGGGGTAGGATGGATAGAGATGGAATTGTCTAAGGTGGAGTTAGAGGAGAAAAAAGTGCCAAAGAGATTGGCTTTATCACGGGGAGAGTTGGCTATAGAGTTATCATGTTGGAAGAGAGGAGGAAAAGAGGGAGTACAGAAGTTATTACAGATGGATTTACCAGAAGAAGAGTAAAGGAGGTCAGCTGTCTTTCTTTTTTATAAAATTCTGCTTGGCCCTCTGAAGAATAATCTTACAACGATTCCTAGAGGTAATAAAAGAGGAGTGGGTAATAGGAGAAGGAGATAGTTTCATAACTTGATACGCCTTATCTCTCTCCCTACATGCAAATGAACAGGAGTGATGAAACCATGATTGTAAAGTGAAAATTTTGGTAGAAGATGGAATAAATGCACTCATACCACCCTGTATAACCCCAGCAATGCTGTCAGCACATACCGAGGCGTCCCGAGTGGAAAGGCAACATTCATCCCAAGGAAAGTTGGAGAAGAATTCTCACAAGGTTTGCCAGTTCGCCCTCCGATAGTGCCATAGTTGACGTTTAGAGAGGGGTGGGGGAGGTTGTCATGCCTAGTTTGATTTAATAGAAATAAGATTGTGATCAGAAGACTCTAATGGGGCAGAAATTGAGTATGAATAGTGTGAGGTGTTAGAGGTAAAACAAAGATCATGAATGTAAGTAAGTTGATCGTGTTGATCAGGAACGTGTGTAGGGTGTTTAATTATTTGTTCCAGATCATTAAGTAAGGAAAAAGAGAGTGCCTTAATCTCCACCTAGGTCATCCCTTGCAGAGCCCAGCCACTTTCTGTGATATACAATGAAAGACAAAAGTCGTGTCTTGAAATTTGGTGAAAACATATGTCCAAGGGCTAAAACTTTTGATGCGCTCTGCCTTGTGGTAGGGGGCTCTCATAATGTTTCACAAGTTATATTTCATCTTTGGACGAAACCGCGACACGACTTTTGTCTTTGATTGTACATTGAAATCCCCTAGGTAGACAATCTCGGTGTTGGGTTGTGTGGATAGCAACGACTCATGGCAAGAAGTGAGATAGTCAAAGAGTTCCAAATAGTTGGTAGAGTTGGGAGAACAGTATAGGAAACAAAGAAAAATACAGTGGTCCCTCGGTTAACGAACACAATTCGTTCCACAGAGTCGTTCGTTAACCGAAAATTTCGTTAACCGAATCCATTATTTCAATGGGATATTGGGTAATTGGTTCCAGCTCAGAAAAGTACGTACAAAGTAAAACCAAAAATGCATAAAGTCAGAAACACTCCTAAAATTCCTCTAAGTCGCCCTTAAATCACTATATATATATACTGTATACATACATCCTAACCCTTGGAGCACAGTAATTTGTCTTCCCAGCGGTAATGAGGCCGTGGCAGTTTCATTTTCAGCATGACGCGTGAAGGTTGTTGACTGTCTTATACTGTATAGACGTAATTTGCGAATTTAGGGATAAAGACAACAAGACCACTTCAATTGCTCAAAGACCACGGCAGTGTTCCTTTAAATACAGACTCTCCACACTGCGGGAATCCCTGTGCTTTCAGACTGTATTTATTTTTTTTTAAGAAATTGAAATTTTTTTAGAGAACTTAATTGTTTGTCATATGCGTTGCGGCTTTCTTCGGTTAGGTTAGGTTAGGTTAGGTTAGGTAGGGTAACATTAGGTT